TGAGACGAGGCCATTCATGTCGTTCCGACACATCTAGTTTTATTTATCGTTTGTTGTAAACCATCCTTAAAACAGAGAATTTGTTCTGAATTGTTTATAAGTATCATTACTTAATAAAAAAAACAGTGATGTACCTGGAGGATGATTCATTTGTGGCAGGGAATCAGTAGTCTACCGGCAACGTTTTGATATGAATTTCTTGCAAATTATAATTTTACACAATCAAGACATTGCACATACTACACGATTGTTCTATACACGTGTTTCATTAACAATTTCTTACCTTTATGGATGCGGAAGTTGTTACGCTCGTTTTGTAAGCCTTTTTTTATACCGTGTATCTTAATTACAGAACCCATCCATTAAACTTCGATAATTGATGTTCGATTTCCGATTGTTTTATATCAGAATATAATATAAAGACAAAAATTACTTCAAAGACAAAATCTATGCGTTTATAACAAAATGACAACAGGTCAATACAAAAATAGATTAAGATATTAAGTTACATAAAACTTGGAATAAATTCAATATTCCCGGACATTTTTGCTCCATTTTTGGAAGAAATAGATATTAACTTAAATGAAATAAGTTCAAATGCCACACGTCTATATTTATTGACGATTTTCATGCAGAAATTAATAAAGATTTCAAATGTCAGCGTTCGCGAATAAGATTGTAAAATTAATCCCGTTTGCATTGGCTCCTAGTTATATGTAGATAGATGATTCAGAATATTCGATCTTTTTTTTTTAACTTAAAGACATAAAGATTTGTAATTGACACAACACAGTACTTGCTATCTACCCAGCGATATTAGAGTACTCGCCAGATGCACCAAAATTTCAGTTAGAATAAATAATATGATTACGTGTATTACAAATAATTATAAATACACTAACATGTACAGTGTATCTTTATAAGAACGGCCATAAATAGGTATGAAAAATCTGCCACTAACTGTGGGCAAATGACTATCGATCCATCAAATTGTATCCTTGATTAAAAAAATCATAAAACGAAGTAAAAAAGACGAGCGTTTACTTTTGTGACAGAATGGCTAGGCATTAGATTAATCTATTATAATAAATAGCAGCTACAAGTCGTTAATATATAATGCATGGAAATTGGATAAAAAAATTTCATTCTTCAGTACTCGTTTACATCGCCACTTTGAACAAAACTAACAAAGGAAATATGTCTCAACTTAAATGGTTCAATAGAAGACTGAATTTAAAACATGTAACATGTAACATGAAAAAGTTGAAGCTTTAGCTTTTTCATATCATTGAAGCAACACAATTTAATTTCAGTAGTACATGCATAATTACGTATCATATCCGAAATTTAACCTTGATTATGTATTAATCTAAATTGTTCGAATCAAATGTTTTTATTAAAAATAAAGCAATGATAATATATCGATGTTTCAGATGTCCAGTAACAAATATTTCATGCATATTCAGTATGAGAACAAGTCAACGTGGGACTAACATGATGAATTTGCAAAAAAGTAGGACCGCAACTTTAACAAGTTCGAATGTTGGATAGGGATACAAATTTTGCCTCGCGCACCATGCCACCTTAGAACTACTCAAAGTGTTCTCGAAAGGGCTCTTTAACGAGTAGAGGGCATGGGTATATATATATATATATATATATATCTGTCTTCACAAGGCATTGGAATTAATGTAAAAATGAGATGCGGTATGATTGCCAATGAGACAACTCTCCACCAGAGACCAAATGACATATAGGTTAACAACTATAGGTCGACGTACGGCCTTCAAAAATGAGCAAAACCCATACCGCATAGTCAGCTATGAAAGGCCCCGAAATGACAAATGTAAAACAATTAAAATGAGATATCTAACGGCATGATTTATATACAAAACAATGAACGAAAAACAAATATGATATACAGCAACAAACGACATCCACTGAATTACAGGCTCTAAGAGATTTCGGGTTATAGTTTTTGAAATGCACTTTCAGAATATTGCAATTTTTCATTGGCAAAATGTCAACCCGTGGGGACATCGCGTGTAAACGCATTTTCTTCTTCTCCTTTTATACTTGACATTTAATGATAAAACGGAAAGTGATTGAACTTGAAAGCGACAACTTCCGAAGATTTGCCACATATTGTGCAGTAAAATATTGGTTTTAATTGGAATCGAATAATTATCTGATTTACTTTCATTTATATGTAGGAACTCTCTTTTATTTTAAGACAGTATTTATTCTTACTTCATCGCTTTGGTAGGAACAAATTAATAGCTCCCGTTATGTGGAACAATAATGATTTCATAGGTATACTTATATACTTAAGCTTATTTCTTTTTAATATGAACATGATGCATAAGACATAAAATACGACCAAAACTCATCTCAGTTAGCTATTTCGTGCCTTACCGTCTATTTCACACAAGAAAAACTATTTTTGCAATCATTTATTATCGTTTTGTTCCGTACTAAAAGTATTCATGTTTTTTTCCATAATTTTCTTATCTATCATTTTTCTTTTCATACCTTACCTTGTTAATTATGATACGAAGCAAACATTGAGTATAGATTTATGTACAACTGATAATATCAATTTAAAAAGGAACTTTATTAAATTGGGTTTGAAGCTGAGTTTTATTCGACACTTTTAGTTGTTGCCGGGGTTGTTTGTATTATGGTATAATGCCATAAACCTTTAACCTAAATGTAAAACAATGACAAGATAAAAAGTTTATAGGAATCGTGTATCTGTCCAACTCCCTCATGCAAGTTAACCCCGGGCTATTATTGTAGATCTCTTTTGATTAAAAAAAATTTTTGTTTAATTATACATGTTTGACTTTCTTAACTTTGTATCTGAGCTTTCCAGATGATAAATAATTTAGAAAAGAATATTGAACAGATCCCATATGATAAAGTAAACCAATACCAAGCAATCAAATACTATAAGTCGAAGAAAAACGATTACAACACTATGGTTAAAAAGAAAACAGACATTCAACACAAACAGCAACTCACAAAATACAATAGACAATACTGATTTAACATTGCCCATTTCGAACGCAACCCAGTATTATGGATAATCTGAAGTGTTCTGTAAGGGTCAGCAGTACCTGTCTTACTGGGGAACCAGCCGTCTTGCTCGTGACAAGAAAAATCAGGCAATAAGTTGCATAAGGTTATGCCATAAAAAACAGACAGGGTAGGATTGTGACTACGACAAATGAAACATACAATTTTGTGACACAGATAATTAACGTCGATGAAAAGAGAAGCATAATTGGTTCATATTTTAGGAATACCGTCTGTTTATTGCAAATCCTTCTACCAAACGCAACAAATGTTTTCATAATAAAAATGAGCATCGTGATTGATTTACTTTTTACAACGTTTGATTTATCAAAACAATATATATGTCTATATTGTTTTTTCGTATGAAATAATTAAAACAAGAGACAGACGATACCTAGTGGCCAATTAGTAAGTCGAAGAAAACCGGAAAATATAAGAGAAAAAAAAACCGGGAAGACAAACTATAATAATGCTTCATCTAAAAACAGTCTATCACATGTGTGAAACAAGTGATAGATATAAACACTCTATCACATGTGTGAAACAAGAGATAGATATAAACACTCTATCACATGTGTGAAACAAGAGATAGATAAAAACAGTCTATCACATGTGTGATACAAGAGATAGATATAAACACTCTATCACATGTTTGAAACAAGAGATAGATATAAACACTCTATCACATGTGTGAAACAAGAGATAGATATAAACAGTCTATCACATGTGTGAAACTAGAGATAGATATAAACACTCTATCACATGTGTGAAACAAGAGATAGATAAAAACACTCTATCACATGTGTGATACAAGAGATAGATATAAACACTCTATCACATGTTTGAAACAAGAGATAGATATAAACACTCTATCACATGTTTGAAACAAGAGATAGATATAAACACTCTATCACATGTGTGAAACAAGAGATAGATATAAACACTCTATCACATGTGTGAAACAAGAGATAGATATAAACAGTCACATGTATACCCAGTCTACAAAACACTTTACAGAAAACTTAGGACTGAGCAACACGAACCCCACCCAAAAACCAGGGGTAATCTAAGGTGCTTCGGAAGGGTAGACCGAACCTGCCCTTCAACTTGAGAAGCAGCGTTGTGTTAGTCATGTCAAGTTAAGTGAAAAAGTCGCATTTGTCGATTTCATAATCGAGGAAGGGAGGACGGGATTTTGACTTCTACAATTTGAACATATCCGTGGTCATCTGTGACACAGATATTTCCAAACGGTCAGCCAAATTATGATGGCGTTCGTTTTAACGTTTGAAGGGATGACTTCAACATTACCATTAGGAACCTTTTAAATATCAAATTGCTTTTATTTCTCTCTATCATTTAAGTTAGAGCGAATATTATAACGGTTGCAGAAAAATGTGTTATATCATTGCACGAGATGAGGGTTTAAGATTACATGTACTCTTATCGATCTTCGAAATTTTTATAATGATTTGATTACATTGAAAACTTTTGAAATGGATACATCACATTTGAAATCAAATATACTTTTCTCTTTTCTTTAGAAGTTTTTGTCTAATACTAGGAGATTTAAAACGATTTAAAAGGCAGTCTTCTGATTTTCTTACGAGTTGGAAGTTGTACAACTGATCTTGACTACCTATTGTCATTAAACGTTATAAATTTAAACAAACATTCCATAAAATATTTTTGTATAAAAATTATATATTGAAGAAAGTTTTTATTAATCCTCATGTTGAAATAGCACTGGAAGATGAAAATAGGCATAAGAAGGGAACATATAGTAATATGATGAATAAATAAATAGTACTAATTAATAAATAACAATGCTTTTTTGCTAAACCTAGTTTTGTTTACTTTTCAGTTACTGTAACTTTAATTTAATGTGGAGATTACTTACTTTCATATAAATGTATACTTACGGATGCTAATGATCAACAATCCTAATTTCATCAAAACTATTAAATTTCTTCTCATAATACGTCACTAGCAATATATCGCAATAAAAATACACAGCATCACATTATTTGGCAAAATTAAACATTGTAGCTCCACAAAAATGGAGGCCTTTAAGAGGAGTAAACGGTCATCATGTCTTAGGAAATTATTCTATTCTTTTAAATGACAAGATATAGCTCCAAATCTTTAAATTCTTGTCGAATTCCACAATTACTTGCCTTGGTTGATGCATTTTCCATAGGTCGAAATTAACACGAAAATGAAATAAACAATTATCCCCTATAATTATATGGTGTAGCTAATCAACTCATTGTTTTATCAGATGCCACACTCTATTAATTTCCAAACATATTCTTTATCCGTAATAACTTCTTTAGATCAAAGATTGTATTGATATAACAACCTGAACAAACCATTCATCATAAGCAATTCATTACTACAGTAGGAATTAGTAACGTTAGTAGAACTGTACACAGAATATATAGTTTGAAGGTTATAAAGTTAACCTATTCATTTGGAACAGTAAATGTTTAGCGTAAATCTGACAATGAGACGATCCCGATCGATAGGTATAAAACAGTTAAATATAATTCAGTATACCAAAAATAACACAAAACGTTTTGTCGTTTAATTTACTTAATTATTACCTCTTCGGAAAACAAAATTTCTTTACTTTATAATTTGGATCTAATTGTTTATAGAGTTTAGTTCCACCTTGTTAAAATTTAAAACGAATAGTTTATTGAGTTTACAAAAAGTGTTTGGGTAAAAAGGCATTTAAGTGTAAATTTTCTAAATGAAATCTCTGCTTGCATTGTATTTTGTTTTCGAGTTCATTTAATAAGCAAAAACTCCAATCATTTAGAAGAGCTGGAGAATTGTGATGGAAATAATGTGTAGTATGATAGTCCTTAGAACAGAAATAAAACGCGACCTCTTAACAAAACAAGTTGAAGTCTGAGTCTTCCTGTTGTGACTTAATGAACATCATAGTTTGAATTGTCTTTATCTGATTGATCATCATAGGTAAAACTCTTTATATTCTATATTGACAACAGAGACCGGAAGTTCCATAGTGGCATTGTTTACCTTTATGAATAAACAACGTTGTCAGAGATATCTCTTTAGACATTTTAATCCGTCACTTCAAAATGTGTTAAACGTCACAAATTTCAAGTTATAATGTAAGCAGTATAAATGATTGAAAGGAACAAAAAAAGCAATATATGAATGAATAAAAGAAGAAAGAAATTAGCTTTAGACAAAAGCGGGGATAGGAAACGCACATAGACTTGTAAAACCAGGGTTTGGTAGGGTTAGACTAATTGAAGCACATTTTGGAAAGGTGCCGAGATGATACTCAATAATGTATACCGTTTGAAGGGTATTTCATTCAGCATCAGTAAACGTTAATATGTTGAGATTGAAAAGGAAAGAAACGTGTTGCAGCATCTTATCCGAAAATGAGCGAGAGGTGAAGGGAAAAGAGAAATTTTACATAGTAGGTCAACTGTACAAGCAGTCGGATATAGGCAGAATTAAATGCATACCTGGATTTAAAGACCTACTGGAGAGACAGATCATAAGAATTTTGTAAATCAAAAGCCCAGCTATTTGCACCTTTAAGAGAGCAAGAAACGTGTTTCCGCCACCAGTTTAAAATATACATCTCACATGTACCTGTTGTTAACCGGTGCAAAAGCCAGTGTTTAAATTTTAATGTCAAACCAGGATGTTAGTTTCAACGTGGAAAAGTTTTAGGTATCAATATATGTCGTCTTAAATCAAGGTACATTAAAACCGAAACTTTGTGAACTGATTCGAAATAAATTAATAATAATTTTGTTTGTATAGAGTGTAAAGATGATAACAGATTGATTGACAATTTCCCTTTTTCATCTATCTTCTATGTAGAAATCATGATATCGGCGACGAATATTATTATCTATTTGTATATATATGTTATAAGAACATCATGTCTAACTGAGGAATGTGAGAGAAAAAAATGAATCACATTTTAATACGAATAATCACTCTCTCTCTCTCTCTCTCTCTCTCCCTCCCAAATTATACAAGGACTTTTTTTATCTATGCAATAATAAAACAGTTATTTTTAGATTATACAATTTTGTAAGCAAATAAGATGCAACGATGAAATAGTTAACATTTCTTTTAATATAAATCAAGCAAGTTTATATCGTTCGCATTTCATTTTGTGTGTATTTTCATTTATTTAGTTTTGTTTGCCAAATAGCATGTATACATTAAATTATTTATCATGGTTCTTGTTGTACACCAGTGTCATTTAGTTTTTTATAAATAATTTATTGTATCGTTACCGAGAATTCAAAATGGTGACAAGTTGACATATGTAAATTAGCAAGCAAGTTCCGTTCTTACAAACTATTTCAATAGCATCAGAGAAATTACCTGAAAAAAAAAAACAATTACATTATCTGGAACCGGAATGTACCATATTGTCTATGTTATGGTCATTTTACTAAGATACGTCTTTCATATAAATCGTCCTTCGGAATTATGCCATTCAAGACGTTAACATATTGCGCCTTGCCCAAATATTATTATTATTTTTTTCATTTTCGGTTTCTACTACGTTCTCATACACATAGTTATGACCACTTGTGTTTCATCGAAACGATCATGGAGATCAACCTACATGTAGCTCTACAGTCGTAACAGTTACCGTTCCTTATCAAGATTCTTAGCATTTTAATAATTTAATTTTATGTATCTGTTACGGTTGGTGATTGGGTGATTTAATTGCTTAATAGTAAAAAAGCATATATTTTATTGAGTTATGTTCAATTTCGTTTTATCGGGATATATATATATATATATATGTATATATATACAAGTCTAAATTGAAAACAACGTTCAAACCTATGATTGCGTTGGATAAAAACCGCAATTTTTATACGTGTGCATGCAAAACAAATTTCTTGTTAGAGGGGTCTAAATACAGCACAAACAACATTTTCCAAAAGACCAAAAATGTGAAAAAAGTATATTTTAACACAACGCATTTGACTAACAGGTCGAACAACAAATGTTCTGAAATCCAGCTGACTGCCATTGACGATTGCCAAATAAACGGATCACAATGTGTAATAAATGGATCTTAACTATAAATTTAATCCAATACAGAAAACAATAAACTTGCGGAGAAGATGGTATACCGCAAACAAAGGTGCAGAGATTTTTTGTACACCATATCCGGATTTCGACAATTAATGTCTCTTCAGGGATGTTAGGAATCGGAACGGTTATTGGAAGGCCACATAATTTACCTCAATTTAGGATAGACTCTTGAATTTTGAGGAGTCAAAATAGGATTAACGGATCATATAAACCCGAAGGCAAATATAATACAAGCCCAAACAAAAAATATAAACAAGTCTAAATTGAAAACAACGTTCAAACCTATGATTGCGTTGGATAAAAACCGCAATTTTTATACGTGTGTATGCAAAACAAATTTCTTGTTATAGGGGTCTAAATACAGCACAAACAACATTTTCCAAAAGACCAAAAAAGTGAAAAAGTCTATTTTAACAAAACGCATTTGACTATAAATATAGTATGAACCGTATTTCCCCTCCACTAAATGCTCATAGGTGTTGGACTAAATCACCTTAAAAAAAATCTGCAACATTTAGCTGGGGTAAATTGAATACTATAAGAAGGAATAAGCTTAAGCTCTCAACACATAAATGATCTTAAGGACTTTAACCTTTATAGCTTACATTTTCATTATGTCAGTTAGATATAATAGTTAAAAGAATTTCGGGACCTTTTATTGCTGAATATGCGATATGGGTTTTGCTCATTGTTGAAGGTTGTACGGTGACCTATATTTGTTAACTTCTATGTCATTTGGTCTCTGGAGGAGAGTTGTCTCATTGACAATCATACCACATCTTCTTAATTTTATATTGAACATGAGGGACAGTATCTAACTCTTTGATATCATCTTTATTCACTTTACATTTTGTTGTGTCCAGGACATTTTATACTTGTCACGCTGTGACAGAAACACGCGAAAGACCAACTGATGTTGCAGATTATTTCTCTATTTTTGTCGTGGATATTCCGCTTCTACGTGTTTACCTGCGATCAACTTTAGTAACAACAATGAACATTGTACTATTAAAATAACAACAATAAATTGACATTTTTAAAGTTCAAGTGTAATTGATTCAACTGGCCATCAAACTTTGTAGCAATCAATATAGGAGAAGAGCAATTAACGGGAAATAAATGCTTTTATGAAAGATACAATTCCTGTTATAATGTAAACAAATTATCAGCGAATCCTGATACTCCGAAGTAATGATTTAAATTATCTTCAGTAACATGGAAACCATGATGGAGAGAATGATATCCGAGTCTATAAACCTGTAATTTAAAACAAAGAAATAATTGAGGAAATTGGAAAAGAACTCGTCTAAAATTAAGAATACACTTAACAAAGGTGAAGTATCATAAATTATTTTTACTATTAAAATAATAATAATTTCACAACACGAACAAGCAAATCGGTATATATTCACGGCTGTCATTCGGTATATCGAGAAAAGTGATCGTGAAAGAATAAGTAACGGTGGTCAAGTATTGCGATTAGATCGTGAAAGATCTCGAATAGGATCGTGAAGGAAATCATATCGAGAAGAAACATGCAAGGTCAATAAAAGATCTCAACTTATTGAGTTATAATGACAATCTTTGGAAAAATATGTCTGCCAAAATGGTTCAACATTATGATCAGTATCTGAGAAAATCAAGGTTTAAAAGGACACCGTTTTTACAAAACTACGAAAGGCAGATTGCTCATCGATATTTCAAAGACATAAAAATGTAAACAAACATGATTTTTTTCATAATTTGAATAACTTAACTAACCTTTTTCTCGGAAAAGTATCGTTCCATAAAACTGTTTCAAATGGTTCTTACGTTACTTTATAGTAGCTTCATAAAAAATTTAGCAAAAAATGAAAAAAAAAAATGGTAAATAATTTGATGATTCGGATCGTGAAAGATTGGGTACCGTTTTTTGATGATCGTGAAAGACCTTGTGACGCCTATTTGTTATTGCAGAAATCAAAAGACTGGATTTGCATGACTTATTCTGGTTACCTTTTGTTGGCGAATAGGGCTATGATGGTTTAATTTCATTGATCTGGATCTGATTATTTTATCGTTCAATTTCAATTTGTAATCAAGTATTAGCTTTTCAAAAATACTATACGCTTCTTTGCAGTAACCTTTAAGTAAGTGTTTACTACATGAATGTATTTATATAGCACAGGTATTATTGCACACAAGATGATGTTTATTTTTATTGTGAAAGGCTTTTTGCAACTCATTTGAATTGAGAAAGCAATGATAAAAAGAGAAAGTAATGTGTGATATGTAAATATTCTGAAGTGTAGTTCTAACAAAAAACAAATAAAAGGTTATGCGCATAATATCCAATAGTTCCTTTT